ATACTTCCTCCATTTTTCGTCTCACCGCAAAGAACATAAATTACGCCCTAAGCACTTTGCTTTAAGAAATATTTAGTGTCCCTTGTTTCGAACTTACATCGTATTTAAACCCTAACGACCAATACATTTACGTTTTAAATGTAAGCTAGCTTGATACCTTAATATATAATACGAATTAGTAATATTTATTACTAGAATTGCCCGCGGCTCCGCCCGCGTTCAGACTAAAAACCAAATTTTTAGGTTTTACATATTAGTATACTCTTACATTGTAGTTTTTGTATTTTTCTCAGTGGCTTTTCTGGGATGCGGTAACAGACAGACAGACAAAAATTCTAAAAACTATAGATTCGGCCTCTGTATCGATAATAATGTTTATTTCAATAAGATTTTCCAAAAATATCTAATGTACAGATTCGGCTTAGTTACAATTTTATTATATGTATAGATTTTAATTAAATAGGTGACAAAATGTAAATATTTAGTATGAAAAATATGAACTCAGGCAGTGGTAGTCGAGTGGTAACGTGCTCGCTTGGGAAATCAAGTGAAGCGGGTTCAAATGCTGGGTCTCCTGTGATATTTTCATTTTCGAATCATTTCCAACATGATTACTACTTGTCTTACGGTGAAGGAAAAAAAATATCGTGAGGAGACTTACATATCTGAAAGAACCTAGCAAGTTTTCGAAAGAAATGTGAAGTCCGCGAATTTGCATTTAGCTAGCGTGATGGACTATGGCCTGATCCCCCTTGTAGTAAAGGGAGGCCCGTGCTCAGCAGTGGGACATTAAAAAAGGGTTGAATACATATGAATAAAAACTAAATAATTATATGGGTGTATTTATTAAAAATTTCCAAAGTTTCGCTTCAAAGTTATTTTTCATTATAACTTTTACAACTATTACATAAAAAAACCGACTTCAAACAAAAGCACTAAAAAGTAAAAAATAACTGATTCGTAGTTTTCATTTACTATACATACCTAATCAAATATTTTCGAAGTCGGTGAGCTTTACTTTGTATGGGCTGGCACCGATTTCGAAAATATTTGATAGGTACATATGTATTTAATAGGTAGGCTTTAATTACTTAGCCAAAGCACACCGACTTTGAAAATATTTGATTAGGTATGTATAGTAAATGAAAACTACCAATCAGTTATTTTTTACTTTTTAGTGCTTTTGTTTGAAGTCAGTTTTTATTCTTTTGTTAAAAAGTTTTTATTTTTCCCTTTCTAGTGTAGACAGTAGTAGCAAAGTAAGAATTCTAACGTGTTAGGCTTGTCAAATCAATCAAAATAAGCCTAAACTCAAAGTATCTACTATTAACCGTTGAACAGTTCGACCTATCCACCTTCTCATCAGATCAGGTCAACAATACCGAACCACTGTACTATCAACGGAAATAGAAACACTTGTAAACTTTCAAGTCAATATGACAATTAGAAGTAGGTTAAATTCATCATTAGCTATTTTTCCACCCTTAGGGGTGGTATTTTGTTTTGAAATTTAAATGGGACCAATCTGGAAGTATACACTTTCAAACGACACATAAATTGTCCAAATCGGTTAATAAATGACGGAGTTCTGAGGTAACAAACATAAAAAAAAAAGAAAAAACAGTCGAATTGAGAACCTCCTCCTTTTTGAAGTCGGTTGAAAAAATTGGTTGAAATATATTTTAAAGAACAGAATAAATTACCTCTAAGTACTAAAGTAGTCACTTGTAATACAAAAGTTAAGATAGAAAAGCTAGGATATCTGATTAAATCAGTTATTAAACTCTTTCTTTATTTCAGTTCATAGTTCACGAATATTACCAAATCGACTGGCTTATAATAGATACATTATATAAATATATCACGGGTATATGCAAATGTTACTACATGGTATAATTATATATTGTGACTAGCGACTACCCTTTGCTTTGAGTTCATCCCTAGACGAAAATAAATCTATCCCACCGGAACAGGACATTTTACGGGATGATATATAGCCTCCTCAATAAACCAGCTATCTAAAGCAAAAATAATTTTTAAATTAAGCAAATAAACAAACTCTGCCAGTTTATAATATTAGTATAGATTATTACTTATTCATTTTTTTATTACGTTTTATTTCTTAATATTATATAAATTAAAAAAAAAATTTATAACCGTATCCAAGAGTTTTTAAAACCGTAATTTTTTATATAATATGCAACTGTGCATGTAAATCGTTTTATTAAAGTGTATTCTATTAGAGTCCGCCCGCTGACCCTAACAGCAAATTATGGAGTAACTTTGTACATAATATATAATATCTGTTTATATCCCATCGAAATTACTTGAATATATAGGGTAATAAAAACTAAAAAAAAACGACTTCCAGGCACTAAAATGTAAAAAATAACTAAACGGGGGTTTTCATTTAGAATAGATATCTAATCAGATATTTTCGAAGTCGGTGCCAGCCGATGCAAAGCAAATCTAATATATTTCGATACGTAAAATACATATTTACCTATTAGATATTCATATCTTAAAATATTGTCGGCTGGCACAAACTTCGAAAATATCTGATTAGGTATTTATTCTAAATGAAGTATACCCTTTGAAACAAAAAAAAAATCCAAATCGGTTCAGGCGTCTTCGAGTAATCGGTGAACATACATAAAAAAAAGAAAAAAAAAGATTCCGACGAATTGATAACCTCCTCCTTTTTGGAGGTCGGTTAAAAAGTAGCCTTCATAACATAACCGCGCATATAACTATCTCTATGCAAAAAATTATCGCGATTCATATATAAGTGTTAAGGAATATTTTTTTATACATATATTTGGGCATCATCATGTAAAACTTCGTAGTGTATATTATAGAATGTTTTTGCTAGAAAAATATATTTTCTGGAAGCTTGTTACTTATTTATTATTCAAATTTTAATGAAATTACGCACACTAAGATATTTTATGAACGTTTCTCTAAGAAGGAATTAATTATGAAAAAATATTATACATATTATACATATATTACGCAGTGTAATTTGTACATCTCAAAAAATATGCCTTATCAGTTATTACATATTTTTGTACTGGAAAGAATGATTTATTGTCATGTTTTTTTCAAAGCGAAATGGAGTCAATTTTGCTATTAGTATCTGTACAAAATAGCTCTATGAACTGCAACTTCATATTTCGTCTTGATGAAAAAAAAACCTATGCTGTTAATATAAGGCAAAAGTGTCAATTGTTTTTTGGCTTCTCTTTTTTTATGCAATGGAGAATCGGATTAACGTGACATTTTGAAGAGTTTTTAAGCCGGATAGTGATAGCTTTTTATCCCTTACATCATGTCACATCTGGGCAAATTCAGCGCGGGCCGTTGGTTGATTACAAATTGATTTCTATGGAGATATCTATGTAAATATATGAAGAATATTATTTATTTCTACCTAACTCAATGTAGTATAATTTATTTGTGATAGATTCTTTCATTTTCTCGAGACTTTTATTTGTGTTGTTTAATGTTTCTTTTCGGATTAATGAGCTACTCGTATTTTACGATTATTGCTATTCGATTTATCGTCAGGTGCCATTAATGTGTACTATCTTCAGGTGGTGAAACGCATTTTATTTCTTTCCATAATAACAATATGGCATTTGTGGCTTATATTTTATAATTATTGTTGACAAATGATATTATTATTTTTTGTTTTTATACTTAAAGCTCTCGTATTTATTGGAAAAAAGCTATTTAATCATCTGTAATATGTAAACTGATAGTAAGATGGATTATGTTTCAGAATTCTCTAGTAAAAAAATTTAAAGGCGTAATTTTATAAATTCCTCTTTTGATCCAACTTAAATACAGGTAAGTGGTCTACAAATTTATAAATATGTGAAACATCAAAGTGGCCAGCCCAAAAAAACTAGATATAATAAAAAACGAGTTCAATTTACCCTTTACCACGATTGCGGTCTGTATCAACACATTTATCAAAACAAAAAAGGGTGAGTGTATGGCGAATGTGAAAATGGATACAAAGCTTGTGAAACAAGATTGCGTCTGGTCGACCGTACAGTCTGAAAAATATAGTCTGACATAATTTTGAATATCTTAAATAAGAAGAGGGAGGAAACCATGCGTTTGTTAAACATAATGTTAGGCATAAATTATTATCTTATTTTTGCCCTTAAATATGATTAGATATTATGAGAATACTAACGACTTACATTCGCTTTGCTCGGGTGCGACCCTAGGTACGTTTTACATAGATAAAAATAGTTATTGCAAGTTTACCTTAGGAGATAGATGTATGGAGACTTTTCTGTGGGCCTTTTTAAGACCTACAATTGTCAAGAACATTATTTTGAGATATATACATGACATTTTTAAGGACGACTCGAAAAAAACAGTTATTATGCTATCCCGTGGGAATAAAAGATAATAGTTCGGTTCGTCACGCGCTAGCGGACGGTCGTTAATTCCCGAGCTACTCGTAGGTGACATTTTTAATCAAAATGTCTACAACTGTAAAATGTAGATCTTGTAATATTGTAATTAATGAGGTGCTTGCTTTCATTTGTAATAAAATGGACATTATGGATGAGGAGAGTATCAGCCGTATATGTGTGACGGCGTTCTCTCAAAGTGATATTGTGACTGCGAAACGGTTACTGTATGAGTCTTTGTCAAAGCAGATCAAGACCAGAAAACGTGATGGGAAGACTGTAAGAGATATTGATGACATCCTCTGTACACTGAAGGAAGCTGATCCTGAAGTTCTACCGATCTTCGTCGCACGGGAGTTGCAAAAACTACCCCCGGTTCTTTTCGATCATGTCGATGTAACGCAAATTCTTAAGGATTTAGTGAAAATGCGCCAGGATATCAATAATATTTCTCAGTGCTATGTAAGTAAGGAGGATTTAAATATATTGAAACATGACATTGAAACGCTAAAGGAGGCCTCCGTTGTAAATAAATTATCTAGTAATATAAATTCGAAAAGAGGTGCTTGTATGTTAGAAAGTTTCGAATGTAACAGTGGTCCTATGGGATTGCATCCTATCAGCAGTGAGAAGGATCATTGTGAGGGTCCCTGCCCATTATCACCGAGCAGGAAAACCCGTAATGAAAATCAACATCCCCTAGACGGTAGAAGTAAAAACAAACCATCGAACGAACATATGAATAACGGTATGCCACCGGCAGACTTCATCGAGTCAGCGGTGAGCGGACCGCTCGAAAAGGTAAACAACACGAAGTCAGCGTCGAGCGAGAGCATGACTCATGCGTCGATTGTACCTGCGCCTACAATACTTTCGGACGGGCCGTGCTACAATGACCGCAGGCCGCAGGAGAAAAAATCTTACTCTAAAGTTTTGGAACAAGGTCAATGGAAGCCTCAAGAAGGAAATAAGCAATGGATATTAGTACAAAAAAAAAGATTGAGAAATCGATTTGTTGGTAACAAAGGAAAAGCCGTTGTCGAATCAAATATAAATTTTAAAGCGGCGGATATACGAATCCCATTGTATATATATAACATAGCGAAAGATGTCACGGAAGACGACATTCAAAATTATGTAAAAAGTAAGACAGATGTGTCTGTTGATTTCGAAAAGGTTATTATGAAAACGCAAAAAGATTATGATGCATATAAAGTCTATGTGCCTAAAAGCAAAATTGAATATTTTTTAAAAGATGAATTTTGGCTGGAAGGAGTGGCGTTTAGACGTTTTATAGACTTTAAAGAAAGACACCGAAGTGGCCAAATGCCCAGGAGTACCTTAAATAAATAATGGCTGTTACAACTAAAATAATCAGTTTCAATTGTAGAAATGTACAGCGGTCCGTTGCTTGTTTGAGGTCTCTCTGCCGAAAGGCTGACATAATTGCCTTACAAGAGACATGGCTCTTACCACATGATCTCAACTTTCTTGGAACTATAGATAAGGACTTCGCGTTTACTGGAAAATCAGCGGTAGACACTTCTCAGGGTACTCTCCGTGGAAGGCCGTTTGGTGGGGTGCCACTATTGTGGAGGAAGTCTGCGTTCCCGCGTGTGTCGGTAGTTGAGTGTCATAGTGTGCGTTTAGCGGCTATTAAAATACACCTCGACAGTGGTAAGTCGATGCTAGTGATTTCTGTGTATATGCCTACGGACTCGGCGGTGAACCTTGTGGACTTTACGGACTGTATGGGTGAAATAAGTGCTTTAGTAGAGACAAACAGCATCGAATCTGTTTTTATTCTTGGGGACTTCAATGCACACCCAGGTGAGCAGTTTTCGCTAGAGCTTTTAAATTTTTGTAAAGAAAACATGTGGTCGTGTGTAGATATGGAGCTATTACCTAGCGATACCTATACATATGTTAGTGATTCACACGGTTCTCGCAGATGGCTCGACCATTGTATTGTTACTAGTGCCGCGCGGCATTCTGTACTTAATGCATTTGTTTTAAATCATGACGTTTACTGGTCTGATCATTTTCCCTTATTAATTGAATGTAATATAAGCAAAATTCAGTGTAAAATTGTGGCCCCCACACAATATGTTAATAAAATAAAATGGGGTGAATGAGACAGTAATCAAATACAGCAATATACTGATAGTTGTAATAGTAAACTACACTTAATAGACCTTCCAGGTGATTTTTATGCATGTGCTGACAAAAGGTGTTCAAACATCGATCATAAAATTAAAATAACAACAATGTATAATGAGATTGTTTGTATTCTAAGAGACTCGGCAGAATATAGTTATATCGATAAAAAAGTTAGGAAGCATAGGTGCATAGCAGGCTGGAATATGCACGTTAGTAGCGCTCACAGGGAGGCTCGGTTCTGGTATCAGTCTTGGATACTATATGGAAAACCGTACACTGGTTTTATCTATGATAAGATGCGTGAATCGAGAAAATTATTTAAAACTAAATTAAAATATTGTCAAAATAACGAACAACAAATAAAACTAGATATTATTGCTCAAAACCATGCTGATAAAAATTTCAATAAATTTTGGAAAAACACTAATAAACTTAATCCAAAATCGAGCCTCCCCGTGAGTGTAGATGGTAAGTTTGATCCGACTGATGTAGCCAATGCCTTCCGCAAGCACTTTAAAGTGGAGTCTTCTCTCCCTCTAGAGTCGCAGGTGTTCGATGCTGGGTGTCGCGACGGAGACTTTACTGTCAGATTTTCTGAATGTGAGGTCGCCTCAATTATTAAAGGAATGGTCAGAGGTAAGTCTCCCGGTCACGACGATCTCAGCATCGAGCATCTGAAGTACGCGGGGGTGCATTTGCCCCGAGTTTTAGCTATATTTTTTAATTTATGTATAAGTCATTGTTACTTACCGAATGAATTAATGTATACTCTTGTTGTGCCTATAATAAAGAATAGAACGGGGGATGCCTCCGACTTGTCCAATTATAGGCCTATATCCTTGGCTACGGTTATAGCCAAGGTGATGGACGGTTTGCTTGGCAGAAGATTGGACGAAAATATTAAAATCCGTGATTTACAGTTTGGTTTTAAACCCGGTCTGTCCACAGAGAGTGCCATTTTCTGTCTCAAGCAGACTGTGCAGTACTACACGGCTCGAAAAACCCCAATCTATGCTTGCTTTTTGGACTTGTCGAAGGCATTCGATTTGGTATCGTACAATTTGTTGTGGAAAAAGCTACATTGTGAAACCAGTTTACCTCCTGATGTCATATCAATATTTAAATATTGGTATGACAACCAGAGGAATAGCGTCAAATGGGCTGGCTCCCGGTCGGATGAGTACGGGTTGGAATGTGGAATGAGGCAAGGGGGGTTGACCTCACCCAAGCTTTTTAACGTGTACATTAATAAACTGATCGAGGAGCTTAGTAGCACCTACATAGGATGCCATGTAGGCGGGACGTGCATCAATAACATCAGCTACGCAGACGATATGGTGCTGCTGAGCCCTTCGATCGGTGCTTTGACTAAGTTGCTTCACATGTGTGAAGAGTACGCAGTGGCTCATGGGCTCAGATATAACGCGTTAAAAAGCGAGTTAATGGTTTTTCAGGCGGGTGACACAAGGAGACAACGGAGAGTAACTTGTGTTTCTCTAGGAGGCTCTGAGTTGAAAAGAGTTGACCGGTTCAAATATCTGGGTCACTGGGTCACTGAGAGCTTGTCAGACACGGTAGACATTGAAAGAGAGCGTAGGGCGCTGTCTGTTCGCTGTAATATGTTGATCCACAGATTTGCGCGCTGTAGTAAACAAGTCAAACTAACACTTTTCAAAGCCTACTGTCAATCGTTCTACACGTGCGGTCTGTGGGTCGATTTCACGCAGCGAGCATACAGCGCTCTACGTGTCCAATACAACAACGCGTTCAGGATGTTGTTCGGTCTGCCGCGCTTCTGTAGCGCGTCGTCAATGTTTGCCGAGGCGCGTACCGACTGCTTTCACGCGATCATAAGAAAAAGGTGCGCCTCGCTGTGGGCGCGAGTAAGCGGGGCATCGAACACCATCCTGAGTGCCTTGGCCGACCGGTGGGACTCCCCGTTGTTTTGTCGCTGGGTACAGCTTCATGCTCCCGTTGCTAACTATAATCTTTAGCACAGGAGTCTCCTCGGAAGCCAAAGAATTTATTTTTATTTGTTTAGTAGGTATATTATATATTACACAATAAGTTTTACTAACATAGTTGTAAGTTTTTAAATGTAACTAACAAGTGGACTGAGACTTAAATAAAAATATTATTATTATTATATTATTATTATTAATAACTTGCCACTACACAAAATTGAGTCAAAATCGGTTGAGTATTTTTTGCATGAAATACACACACCTATACAGACAAAAAGACATGCAGACAAGCAGCCAAAAAATTCAATAACTATTGTTTTGGGGTCTATTTTCTGTAAGTAAGTCGATTTTATTAATAAATATTTCATGTACATATTCCGCTTGATTATTATTGTATTGATTGGTTGAATAGTAATGATTTATTCAAAATAAAATACATTATTTTGATATGTACACTAGAGTCTGACTAACGAAAGCGCGACTTGGAGTTTTCTTAAGAGTTTTGATATGGCAACATTATTAAGCTGTCAAAGGCACGTCAAACTTTAAAGTCTCTAATTGCTCTGGCTTTAAGCGTTGTTAGTAAAAGTATACATATTTGTACATATCGTGAAATGTGTATACTAATATTAGATTCGAATTGTTTACAATGAATTGATAAAAATGTATATCAAATTAAGAAAGAAGTTAACAATTACTTAATTTTGAAGCACGGCTCGGACATTTTCTTCTGTAAAGTATGATGTAGATATGAATTAGAAAACTTTCAGAATTTCTAAAGACTTGGTGTGCTCTTTAAATTAGAAATTATGTTCGCAAACAACTATTGTACAAATTAATTGTTGTAAATACAAAAAATATTTCAGTATCAAAACATTTTTCTCTTACTATAGTTAGTATTACCACGATTTTTTAATTCGAAATTCGAAAGATTTTTTGTATTTGCCGTGTTTTCTCAGGTCACGCTTTCGTTAACCAGACTCTATACTGTTTTATATTTAATAACATAATATATTTAGGGTGTTAATCATAAACAAATCTATATATGTATATATATTCATCATGTATTTGTCTATAATTAATCTAATTTTGTAATTTTTATAAAGGCACAGAGTATTGTTTTTTTAATGAATAAAGAGAGATCAAAGTAAGCATATAGTTATGGAGCATTTCTTAAGTAGATGATACCGTATAAAACACCCCTTTAATCGACATAACAATACAAAGTCCTTGTCTAAAGAGCTACTTTAGGTATTTTAATCATTGTTTTCAGACAAATTCAGTTCTTACACTTAATCGATATAATTAATAAAAAAATGAGTTCATAATTTTAATTTTTTTGTTATCTTTTAAGATAAATTAATAAAAAAAATATTGAGCACTGCGCTAGGTGATGTTAAGGCGTAAAATAAATAAAAAAGTAACGTAAAATATCTAATAGCTTTAAAGAGGTATAGTTAAATTTTCTGAAGAAATTTTGTAAGAATTAGGTGAAGATATTGTACACAGTCATTGTTAAGTCGACTCTCCGAAGCTTCCGACACGGAATTAAGGGGATCATTAAAGCACCACTAAGGTTTATTAACTTATGAATGTTTTTTCGTGTAAAATTTGGTACCAGTAAGCTATATGCAGTTGAATAAATTCAAACAAATAAATGTATGAATGCCTCTTCATAGATTATGTAGTGTGGTATATATCACATACTAGCAACTTACCCTCGCTTTGCTCAGTAGCATCTAGGTGCCTTTTATTTTTATAATATTATGTACTAGCGAATCACTCGCGCTTCGCTCGGGTTCGTCCCTACGTACGTTTTAGCGGTTAGTATGAAATACAAATCTTTGAATTTCTCGGGTTTTCTGAACTATAATATACATATCTTATATCATATCATATAAACGTTGCTCTTGAATCATTCTATCTATTGCTGAAAACTGCATTAAAATCCATTAAGTAGTTTAAAAGATCTAAGCGAACAGACAGCGGAAGCGACTTCATTTTATACTATAAAAAAATAGGCAGCGTCACCTATTGGTAATTTTTGTTACTAACTGTAGTCTATGTGGCTAGTCTAGGTTATATTATGGGTGCTATATTTCATCCGAATCTGTTGAGCCGATTCAGATTCAAGGGTAGTACTGTAGTTAGAGACTTATACATTTTTCTGAGCCATTTATTTAATAGTTCCATTAAACACGATCTTTCTAATATTATGCATGTGAAAGCTTAGATGTTTGTTTGGCTGAGTGGATCTGAATGAAATTTGGTACAGAGATAGAATATAGTCTGGAATAGCACATAGGCTAAAGGCTTTTTATCCCGGAAAAATGTACGATTCCCTTGGGATAGATTTGTTTTGTTTTTCTAGAGGCGAACTCGAGAAAATGGAGGGTGACCCGCTAGTAATACATAAATTCAAATACAAAATATTTTATTGATTTAGGTATATTTATATTTTTTGCGTTGTATTATTACAGGTTTTTACTGAACGTCATGAGTCTACCTCATGATCTGTTTTTCATTACTGATACAACAAAATTAGGTTTATAGATTTTTAAACATTAATTAAACTGCATATTTGATTGGTTTAAATACGAGTAGCTAATAAAGATATGAAGGTGGAGCGTGCTTAGACTAAAATTACATTAAATTTGGACGATGGTGCTTGATATGCAAATTTTCCATTACATAGAAAAGATCATAAATAATTTAGGTATAGGATTTGGCGTTACCTTTACATAATACAAATTTCCTATGAACTCTTTACCCGCGCATTTGCTTAAAACAATAAAGATTAACTTAAAATATGAAACAACATTTAAATTTCAATAAGCAATTTATGAAATTATTCATAAAATTCTTACGTTGAACGTCTTAAATTATAATTATTTTTGTTCTCAGACGAGATGTGGGTGGAAAAGGCATGAGCATGACATATACCGGGAATTTTTAATGGTTTCTTTTGACGCGGAAATTGCCCTTAAGGGGCTAAATTATACAAAAATTTTCATATAAACGGTTCTAAGTAAAATTGTATTTTCAAAAATCTTTATTGTATAAGTTAGTGCATTTTTTATTACTACGCAATTATATCAAGCCTTGCCCCTGTCTCCTATCGCGTAGCTGTGTTATGTGTAACCAGATAAATCATCTTTATGTCTCTATTAGCAAAAACAGGATTGTCGTATAAACTTACGATAACCGTTAGGTATACCCTCTTAATTTAGCCCTATCGCAAAATCCTTACATAACTATCTAACTACTTACCAACCAAATTTCAGTTTCATAGATTAAGTGGTTCATTCGAGATTTCGTGCCTGCAAGTATTATTCACTCTTCTCTTTTATATTTTATGAGACCTATTGCAAGATATCAAATTATAGGTATAGAGTCGCACTAATTAAGTTCAGCTTAAAGCTGTAAAAATAGCTACGTTACTTTAAACCAATAGCTATTATAGCATAAATTATTCCTAAGCTTCCAAAAGTTTCTTTTTTTCCTCTTTCTTGAGAAATAATATGGAGAAATTATACCAAATCCTTCATGAAAGTTATTTATTGTGACAAAAATATGGTTTTACTATTAAAGTTTAATAAAAAATAAATGAGAATATAAACGGTTTTTATAAATGACCTATTAAATATTTTGAAAAATAGATTTTATCTATAAACTATGAACATGATTCATAGAACACATTAAACTAACACTTAAATACATATATGATTTATAAATAACAGAAGGGGTTCAAATAGATTGTGATATGTTTATGGGATAGCTATAAATTTTATGTTCGATTTCTGAAACTTTTAGCTCAATAAGCACTTAAGAAGTCGCGCGATGACAAATAGCTTGGTTGTAGTATACCTATCATAGACAATTTTTTTAGTCACAATATATTTATTTTATTATTATTAATACATAAAAATATCTACATTTTCTATTTTAAATGAAACGAATAACTACGTACTATACATCAAATATTTTTTGTAATAACTTTATGGTTACTAATTAAGCCCTGCAGCTATTGTTTGGTCATTGCTGGAATAAAAAAAATATTTATACCTCGATCACCGTTCTCAGATCAGATCACACATTGTGCCTCAAATACATCTACTTAGATTTTTAACACACATTTATTAACTTGGAATTATGTAATAACTATCATCTTAAAAGTCAATTTTAACCTACATATAACTGTCGTATCATTCATTTATAGTTTTAATTCCACATTAAAGCTACTAAATTTCAAAATTACCGCTCAATCTCATTCGTGTCTTCCTCACAGAACGTGACACTGACAGAATGGATTGCGTCTGTTAACGCAACTATAAGCCATTATAAAAAAAATGTCGTATCGAAATGAAATTTCGAATGTATATTTAGTTCGGATGACAATCCTATAATTCGATATCTTGAAGCTGATCTGATAGTGGAGTCAGTAGATGGTTAGTCGAACTCTTAAGTGACTTTCTCTGAACCCCTCGAGTTCTGGTAAATTATTTAGTTTTACCGAGCTCCATGCATTTTAATTCGTCAAAAGCATTTTTTTAGTTAAAAAATATATATTTATTCAATAATTTGACAACAGCGCCATCTATTGGACGCTAGTGAAAGAACAATATAACATATATACATATAATATGTAAACGTACAAGTATGTAAACCTAAATTATTGGTTATAATTTATTGTATTGTAACTAATCTTCATCTTTACTTATCTCATACAATTCGTGTGCCATTTACTGTAGGTATGTCGATGAAACAGTGCCAGAAACATTCGCGGGAAAAATTTCATCGTAATTGGAGGAATGGCTTAGGCCTAGAAAGACCAACGAAATACACATTCATTTTTATAGACTACTCTAAGATGGTAGGTTTCATACAAATTTTCATCCGCTATTTTACCCCCTTACGGGATGAATTTCGTAAAATGCTAAAACACGTATTTAATTAATTGTATTGAAAAGCATTAATACCAAGTTTCAAGTAATTCTGAGCATAAATATTTTTTTGGATTATATTATAACGCGTTTTCCCGTGGGAAAGAGATAATCTCCCGCGGTAAAAAGAAGCCTATGTTAATCTCCAGCCCTCCAACTATCTCCACATAAAAAATCACGTCAATCCGTCAAGCCGTTTCGACGTGAAAAAAAGACAAACAAACACACTTTCACATTTATAATATTAAAGTATGGATATTACTCACTTTTCACTGTTCTCACTTTTTAATTAGGTTTGTTTATATAATTTGTAGTTAATATTATATATATTTGAATGTTGTGTACAGATATTATTGGACAGCAAATGTAAAATGATATTTTATCTTATAATACGAAGTTGTAATGTTTTAATTTGATTTCTGTTCCTGAACCTAAATAAATAAAATATTGACAATTGACAATCATTCAGATACTTCAGTATATTAAACAACCTTATAATGAGTATGAGTATTAACTAATAAGTCGTAGAAATAACCGCAAAGTATCATTTTCGTGTAATGAATTTTGGAAGACTATCATAGCGTAACTTACAAGCAAATTATAATACAAAGTGTCGGTAAATTTATTTTGCTATGAAAATATTTTTGACCTCGCTCTCATAAACCAATCCTTTGTGTTTGAAATTATCATCACGAATAATAAAACTGAATAATTTGACCGGAGGGTGAACGTAAAGTCTACGAGTTCATTCATCAAATTCAGTTGTGTAAAAATAAATGATAAGGAAAAATTCTGTAATTGAACTGTAAAAAATTCAAAATACACAAAATTCAAATAAATTTTTATAACTAACGGTTTACTCCGACTACTGTTTTTTCTAGTTGTGTATTTTTTGTCTAATATTGTCAGAAAAATATTTCTTGAATTTCAAATTTTCTCAATTTCACATTTAAATTTTCACCTCCTTTATCTCTTATGAAATTGAACTTCAAAAACCACTTACATATGAGTTATTAATTTTAGCGAATAGCATAATAATATCAAGTTATAATTAAAGTGACCCAGACATATTGTTTTCCTTACATACTTTGCCATCTTTTCACCCTTTTTATTAAATATCCTTTCATAATGTTACAATGTCGTTATGGAAATAGGTTGTCAAGATTTCATCCTTTCAGGACCTACAGTTTGGTCTGGGTGTTGATGACTCTATCATCACAAGCAAATTTAAATTATACAATATATATTACTAAATAGCTAAATATTCTCTCTCTCTCTCTCTCTCTCTGTATAACGATAGATGAAATGAAAATTAACTTCATTCAACTAATATATTAATAGCAGTTTTGAATTGACAATTTAATTTTAAATAAAACTATCAAAAAACCAAAATCAAATCCTGGAACCAAAAATCAAAATAAATCGGCGAAATAATCTGAAAAGATAGTCTGAATTTGCGCTAAAACTACAAAAAATACTCTAAAATGATAGGTTTCATACAAACTTTCCTCCCCTGTTTTACCCCCTTATGGGATGAATTTCGAAAAATGCTAAAACACGTATTTAATCAATTGTATTGAAGAGCATTTATACCAACTTTCAAGTAATTCTGATCATAAATATTTTTTTGGATTCTATTATAACGTGTTTTCCCGTGAAAAAGAGATAATCTCCCGCGGTAAAAAGTATCCTATGTTACTCTCCAGCCCTCAAACTAACTCCACACAAAAAAAGCACACAAATCCGCCAAGCCGTTTCGACGTGAAAGAAAGACAAACAAACACACTTTCACATTTATAATATTAGTATATGTAGTATATGGATGTCAAATATTCGCTTAAATCTAAGAAAGTATTATGTTGACAATTAAATTAAAAGGAGTGTAAAGTCAGTGTAGTCACTGGCATAAAAATTAAGAACGTAGTTTTTCTGTATGTAAAATTTCATTTAAATCCGATTAACATTAATCACGTGACTGAGTAACGAACGTCCTAGCATGATCACAATCTTCCGCATTTAGGTACTATTAAAATGAAAAGGTTGAGCTTCGACATTATTGTTATGATTTATACTGGTTCTAAAATCTTAAAATGATAAGGCTGAAGTTATGTTATCGAAGTAAAATCTACAGTTTGTTTTGTCAGACTTCTATCGTAATTTTTACCACTATTGTACTGTATTTCTATTTACAACTTTATATACCAGCGGTGCAACAAAAGTTGTTTAAAGTTTTGTTCGTCAGCTAATTTCGACGGGAATTCAGCTGACCGTAATTCCCACGAAACTGAATGAGAGACGTAAAACCACAAATTAAAGTCGGCCAAATTTCCCTTCAAAACACCTATCATGAATTGGTTGAGGAAACAATTTACAAATTAAATTTGAAGGATTGACGGAAGGTTGCCGTGTTTATTGTGACCAGAAATGACGGTATATGACACAATCATGAATGAATTTTACCTTTTTGAGCCACAATTTATATCATATCATAATATATTATGTATTTTTGTTACTAGGTATGTCATATTTTCTTTCATCTACATGTTTTGTGAGATTTAAATATACCTATCCTTTTTGGAAAAATACAATATGGTGAGCTGAGTTAACACGTTATATTCCGAGGGGTTGTGGAATAGATACCATATATTAAGATATATAGAAAAAAGAAATATAAGTGCGAGACTGGCTTACGCACTGTTTGTAGTGTTTTAACTTATACTTTACGTAATTTATTTAGGTCCAGGTGATGCTGTAGCATTAGTCTAAGGTTACCATATCATTTCAAAATCATAATAATGGTATACCAAGATTCCTTTACCGTCTAAAAAAAGTTGAAAGCGTGCAAACGGCTTAGCACTAACTGCAGTATATGGGAATTTTTAAAAATAAGTTAGGATAACAACATTAAAAAGTTATTGCTGGTTGTCGGCTTATATGTACATACATTTGAGAAAGTAAGCTTGCGTATTAAAGCTTTATCGCGT